TCAGGATGATCATCTGACACCCCCCACCCCCAGCTGCACCCAACCCCCCTAAGTCGCTAGTCATTCCCTTGCATCCTGTGTTCCATGCTCCACGCCTCATGGACAGCACGCCTGAGTCCCCATGCTGGTACATCTTTTCACCATTTTCCTGGAGACCTTTCTCTTTCTCCTCACCTTTAACCTGGCCGGTTTCCTACTTGTCCTTGAAAATTCAGTTTGGATGTTGTCTCCAGTATACCTTCCCCACCTCTCACTCCTCCCTCTGGCCGGGTGGAAGTCCCCGAGGGAGAGGACAGTGTCCCCAGCCGCGCATCCATCCATATGTGTGTTGAGGTCTGTCTTTAGTGTCTTGGTATCTGAGGGAGTGAGCCTGAATTTCGAGGAAGTTTGGAACATAGATAGCTTCTGACCTCGTTTTTAAATGGGCATTCTGTGAGTAAATCAATTGATAATAAGGTTTGGAAGAAATCTCATTTATTTTTTAAATTTCTGCATAAAGTTCTTTGCCATTTGGCCACCTCAAAACAAACTAGTGTTTTAAAAAGCAAGAGAGAAAGTTTTAAATTACAAAACTGATAAAATAGAAATAGCTAACCATATAGACCCTCACTTTAACATATGATCAGTTTGTCATGTATTTGAAAATTAACTCACCTTGCATTTTATAAAAACCAGTCATCATTATACCTCAATTTTAAAAATGTATTAAAAAAAAAAAGAAAACACACTCCACCAAAGAAGACATATGGGTGGCAGACAGGATCAAGAAAAGACGCTCAGCATCACTAGACATTAGGAAAGTGCAAATTAAAATCACAGTGAGATAATTGCTGCATACTAAAGTGGCAAAATATTGAACAAACAAACCTGACGCAGTTCCAAGTGCTAGTGAGAATGTGGAGCCGTTGGAACCGTCGTACTGCAGTGAGGAATGCAGAATGTACAGCCACTTGGGTAATGGTTCGGCGATTTCTTATAAAGTTAGACATATACTTACTGTATAAGAATTCCACTTCTAGGTATTTACCCAAGAGAAATGAAGACATATGTCCACACAAAGACCTGTGAGTGAATGTTTATGGCTTTTTTAATAATTGCCCCAAGTTGAAAACAACCCCAATGTCCTTCAACAGGTTGAAAAGGCAAACAAGTGACGGTGTACCCATACAACAGAACACCTCTTAGCAATAAAAGGAGTAAACTACGGACATAGACAATACCATGGATCAGTCTCAAAAGCCAGACCACGTACTGTGTGATTCCATTTAACCGGACAGCTTGATAAAGGGTGTTGGAGAGGAAGAATCTCCTGTCCCCTTCAAGGTCCTTCCAGGTAGACTACGAATCAAATTGACACGAGACAGATTAACAGTAGAAAATAAAATTTAGTATATATGGGGAATTCACACAGGCATGGCATATTCCAAAGACAGGCAAAATGAGTTATCTGTGTCATCCTGAGATAAGAAGTGGGTAGGGGTCTAGTACTTCAAAGGGAAGGAATGTAATTGAGGGGAAAATGATAAACAAAAAGAGTAAATGTGTAGAAAACAAATGTTTGCTGGGCCACTCACAAACAATGGGACTCGGAGGACTTTGATCAGATAGGCCTTGCTGGGTCCCTCCCTGTCCACCAAGCCTAGTTCAGAGTATAATGTAGTTATCTATGGCGGTAGCTCTCTTCCTGGAGCAGGTTGTCTATCTAAATTCTTTGTAGACAGCTTTGGGGGAGGTAAAGAGCTTTTCCCGAATCTGCTGGGGAATGATTGCTTTTTACTCAAAAGAATCTTCATGTCAAAGTGGCCTGTTTGGGGGCGGCCTGCCCCTTGGCCCCTACGAGGGACACAGATCTGATCAGTGTTGCCAGGGCTGTGTGGGGCAGAGATTGACTGCAGGAGGGCACAGGGAACGTGGTGGGGAGTTGGAAGTTTCTGCACCTGGATATGGTGATGGTTATACATGGCACACATTCATCCGAACTCAGCTAAGCATAGACCTGTGAAGGGTGAGTGTTACCGTATGTAGATTATATTTCAGTTTCGAGAAACAGTGGTCAGTAGTTCTGCTCTTAGGACGACCACCGGTGCCTTGCTCAGGGGAGCAGGAAGGCCACACTGCTCTGCAGTGGGCGGTCTATGGAGATGACACAGCGGTACCTGATGTATGTCCCTGTGTGTGCACTGAAGGGATGGCCGGCCCACACCCACATGGAGCCTTTTCACCCAGCAAAGACCAGCGGGGCAGATGTTGCTGGAGCGTCATGAGCACTCCCTTCTCCCCTTGCCTCAGCAGTGATCACAGTGCTAGCATTTAGACCTAAACTCATGCTTCTGGAGACATCCTGCCAGTATTCCTTGTTGCTTCTAGATTTTAAGAGTTTGTCCTTTAAATATGAACGGCAGCTAAGGTACACGCTAAAGGGTCGTACCGACAGGTGCCTTTTTAGGAGATACTCTTTTCTTTTCCCTAAATCTTTTTACAGCGTTTTGAAAAGCAGAGAAGAGCCAATATATTGTGATCTTGATTACCCGTGTGAATATTGTTGGTGGGAGTGAGATGAAAGCCAGCTCTGCCTCATGGTTTCCTGCTGACTGTCAAGTCTCAATCAAGCTGTGATGAGCTTAGTTCTTCTTGGCACCAGCTCAGCAAGAGTTGTGTTTTGTTGGTTACTTGTTTTCATCCTGATGTAAATTTCAAAATGACAGCAAGGCCCTATTTTGAGGGAAGTGAGCATGCGGTGTCACTTCCAACTGGTTGTGAAATGCTTGCTTTTAGTGGCGCCTGCGTGGCTCAGTTGCTTAAGCCACTGACTGTGATTTCGGCTAAGGTCATGATCTCAGGGTGGCGAGATTGAGATTGAGCCCCATGTTGTCAGGTTCCACGCTCAGCGGGGTGTCTGCTTGAGAGAGTCTCTCTCCCTCTCCCTCTGCCCCTCCCCCCACTTGTGCTCTCTATCGTGCTCAAAAATAAATAAATAAAAATCGAAAAAAAGAGAAAGAAGTGCTTGCTTTTGCTTGCTAAGAAAGGGGCTGCTGAAGGATAGAGTTGAAAGGTCTGTGTGTTGGTGAGGAGTAGCAGCCTGGCCACACCCCAGGCCAGAACAACAGCTGACGTGGGCTCCCAGAGCTATTTAGCATGCCTGCTGGAGAAGGCTGCCCAGGCCACTTCACTCCCAGGGGTCCTTGCTGCTCCCAGAGGAGCAGGGTTCTCTCTGGCCTCAGGGACAGCCCTTTCTGAAGTGGCCAGAACCCCTTCTCCCCCATTGCCCATCTCCCTTTGGGGTCCCTGTGTTCTGTCCCTCTGTGAGGTCTTCCCTACCACCACCCCCTTCACCTGGTTAGCTCAGGATAGGAGAAACTAGGGTAGCTTGAACTGTTCATAAGTCGGAGTTAGCGGGCTGTGCCGCTGGTCCCGCAGCCTACCCGGGAGAGAGAGGACTGTCCCCTTTTCTGTAGAAGTGGGAACGAGTCCTCCCTGTTCTCCAGGAGCTTCCCAACTGAGCCCAAACAGAGATGAAATAGAGTGATCAGCCAGGCAGAGACCTTTAGAAATGGTAAAACTGGTAAAAGTTGATTAAGATTTTTGAAGACGGGGGAAGAAAAGGTTGAAATAGAACAGATCATTTTGCTGCCACATTTCCTCTAGTGCTCCAGAGTCAGCCGCAGGCTCTCCTTTCAAATCAACTGCTGAAAGAGTGAAACATATTAAACACTTTGATTCTCACTCTGAATTAGCCACTAATATTTTGTCAATTATTCTTTATATATTTGATAAGTTAGTCTCTCTTTCACATGTGAGAGAAAGTAGTCAGAACTCACCATAACCCTCGTCAAAGCAGGTAAGAGTCTGAGCTTTGCTGTCAAGACGGTCCTACCTGGAGCCATTTGAACCCCTGCTGCTGCAGGATCCGGGGACTGATGTCATTCTCCAAGCCGTGCTCTTCTCCTCTTAAGAGGGGGACAGTTAGTCCTACTCGTTAGGGCAGGGCAGTATTTGGAGGTGTAAAACACCTGCTGTGGTGCCTGGCACACACTGGGTGCTCAGTAAGATGGAAATAGTATTTATTGCTCTAATCGGGAAGTAATAACCCAGCATGGGATGACATTTAAGCGGAAGGCACCTGAAACCTGTTTATACTAATGATGATCAAAAGGTCTTTCACCAATTCTATAATACTAATTATAAGATCATTTTAGGGACGCCTGGATGGCTCAGTTCCTTCAGCTCAGGTCATGATCCCAGGGTCCTGGATCAAGTCCCACATTGGGCTCCTTGCTCGACAGGGAGCTTGCTTCCCCTTCTGCCTGCAGCTCCCCTTGCTTGTGCCCTCTCTCACTCTCTGGCAAATAAATAAATAAAATCATTTTAATCTGAGTTACTGAATTCTTTTTCTTTCTTTTTCTTTTTCTTAAGTCTCTCTGGTCAGACCTCACTTGCTCTGGGTAGCTGTCCCTGACCCCTCAGTTTGCACGAGATGCCCTTCTGGGTACCCTCAGCCCTTCACTTCCCTCCGTCAGAGCCCTTCCTGTGCTGGTCTGTCTCCTTCCCTGACCCACGGGTCAGAGCGTGGACACTGGCCATGTGGTTATTGAGAAGCTCCACATTTTAATGTTGCTGCTAGTAATAAAAATGGGGAGCTTGTGGGCGCCTGGGTGGCTCAGTCGTTGAGCGTCTGCCTTCGGCTCAGGTCATGATCCCAGGGTCCTGGGATCGAGCCCCGCATCGGGCTCCCTGCTCCGCGGGAAGCCTGCTTCTCCCTCTCCCACTCCCCCTGCTTGTGTTCCTGCTCTCGCTGTCTCTCTCTCTGTCAAATAAATAAATCTTTAAAAAAAAAAAATGGGGAGCTTGTCATCTAACAACGCAGGATGCCTTTCTAGTGGGAGAGGGGATAAACTCCCAGGAGCCCAGCTAGCACGGAGGCTCTTTGTGCAGCCGTGAGGGTCCGGCTGCCCCACCCCCAGGAGGGGCCCCCAGCCTCACGGTGTGGTCCTGTCTCCTAGGTTGGGAACTACAAGCGGACCGTGAAGCGGATAGACGATGGCCACCGTCTGTGCAGCGACCTCATGAACTGCCTGCACGAACGGGCGCGCATCGAGAAGGCGTACGCACAGCAGCTCACCGAGTGGGCACGGCGCTGGAGGCAGCTCGTGGAGAAGGGTAGGGGGCTGCCCGGGCGCTCCAGGCAGATCTCACAAGATCAGCGCAGGAGTGCGTGTTCAGTTCTGGGGGGCTGTGCTTCATAGTGGGGAGCAGCAGGGAGCCTTCACCCAGCAGCCCGGGCTGTGTGGGCTTTCTTCCCTTTTCTCTGTGGCACGGGGCTTCCCTGCAGACAGTGCCAGTCTCCCGCCGCAGCCCTTGTCGTCCATAGGACGTGCTACGCTTGCCAGTCTAACTCAGAACAGCCCCTACAGGGCCCAGATCTGAGTAAAGCGCCCATCACATCAGAGGCCTTGCGGCTCTACACTGTGGGCTTCAACGCGGAGAGTTGTTTATCTGTAAGCTTGGCTGTGTAGCACATCAGGTAAGACTAGATGGTGACATGTGGCAGGCTTTCGAATTTCGGATTTTAACAGGAATAACTAGAGGTGCTGCATGGTGCAGGTTTTGCCCCCGCTCCCTCCCTAGCAAACCGCTCAGAAGATTCGGGAGTTTAGCAACAGAACGCTGCTATGGGTACAGATTGTGCTCAGAGTGCACTTCCCAACACAGAGGGGGAGCTGGGTGGGTTACAGGGTTTCCTGGGACAGAAGCCGGAGAGTGGGGCTTTCCAGGGTGTGCTGTGGGCCAGGCTCTTCTACATGATGGCTGACCTCAGAAGATGGGGGTGCCAGGCCACCGGCTGAGGGGTCCTGGACGGGCAGGGCCCCAGGCAGCTACAGCTGGGTCTGGACCAGCTGCTCATCTTTCCCCCATTGCTGAAACAAGTCATCTGTGGGGCTTAGCACGGGGCCTTGGTTCAGAGTAGGTGTCAGGGAGCGAGGTGGCCGTGCAGGGAAGGGGCAGCTCCTGCAGTAAACCGTAACTGTTGTTTTATTTCCACCTCTCAGGATCCAGCTGTCCACACTGTCCCTTGTGTTTATTCAGAACTTGAGGTTCACAAAGCACCCTTGCCCCCGCTTACCTTGTGGATCCCGCCACTGTGTTCAGACCAAGGCTGGAGAGGGAGCTGCTCATTTTGTAGACACGAGGGATTCGAAGTTCAGAAGGGCTCACCTTCCACGGTTATGCCCCTTCCAGCGCCTCTCTGTGTCATTACCCAGCTCAAACAGTGACTGTCCCTGGGGAGAGCCTTGAGGACAGGACCTGGATCTTCCCATTTTCATCCTCACATTCTGTCATAGCCTCTTCCTCCCTTACCTAATGCCATGCCACCCCACACCCTCAACAAAATGACAGGCCGGATTACGAGCTTCCTTCCTGAGCAGTGTGCGAGGTGACCACTAATCTAGAGATTTCCATCTGGCCAGAGCAGTTTCCTGCCTCCAACTGTCCTTCCTCTCTGCAAGACAGGGCTTCCATTCTGCTGAGAGAGAGTCCTCCGTTTAACAGGCAGCTCTTGAGTTCCTGCTCTGAGCCAGGGCTCGGTTCTCCTTGTGAGAGTGAATAAGAGACGTGCTGAGGAGTCCACTGCGGGGAAGGGAGAGGGCGGGCTGCAAGAGCACCCGAGCAGACGGGGAGAGAGGTCAGCTCACTTCAGAGGGTCCTCCTCCTCCAGCCCACCTTAAGCAAATTAAAACTTCCAAGATGCAGAAATTGGAAGTCTTTAAAAGCTTAGTGACTTTAAAAAAAGAAAATGTGTGTAATCCCCTAATTTCCCTAACAAAAGAATGGTTGAGTAGATCCAGCTTCAGTTCCTTATTCTTCATCCCAGACTGAAAAAGGAACAGCCACTAAGAGAAAACTGTCTGAAAGAACCGAAAGGAAACCTCCCAGCCCCCACAGCCAGGCTGCTGGCCTAGAATCCCATCCTCACAGCTGAGAGAGGTTAACGGACGAAATCCCCATGCAGGGCCTGTCTGGGAGCCCTGGTGCCCAGTAACCACCAGCTTCTCTCCTGTGCCAGGGCCCCAGTATGGAACGTTGGAGAAGGCCTGGACGGCAGTCATGTCCGAGGCAGAGAAGGTGAGCGAGCTGCACCTGGAGGTGAAGGCCTCGCTGATGAATGAGGACTTCGAGAAGATCAAAAACTGGCAGAAGGAAGTCTTTCACAAGCAGATGATGGGAGGCTTCAAGGAGACCAAAGAAGCCGAGGATGGCTTTCGGAAAGCACAGAAGCCCTGGGCCAAGAAGCTGAAAGAGGTGCCTCCCTCCTGCAGGCTGCCCCTGCCCGGCCTGACCCCGTGCTTCTTGGCTAGACCCCCTCTGACTGCTTTAGGCCCAGGATGCTAACAGCAGTAGAGACAAGGCCCCCTCTTGGGGTTAGCAGAAGGGATTAATTTAAAATTTTTATTTCTTTCGTATGTGTTTTTCTTTGAAATTTGCAAATAATACTGATACCGGTTTTTCTAAAAGTAGCCAAAGCCACTGAGTCTCCTTTGGCCTTGGCTAGCTGGAGGCTCTCCTACACGGACCCCATGCCCACAAGCAGACCCCCCACCCCGCCACCGCAGCTTGGCCAGCCCCTTCCCTTAGGGGCCCACTTGCTGCTTCCTTCCGTCTCCACTGGCTGGCTTTTCTCAGGAGCTGCACCATTTCCTCCTCCTCAGAGTCCTCCTCCTCAGAATCTCCCAGAACAGACCTCCGTCTTCTGGTAGTAATGACAGGCTTTCCTTCTTTTTTCCGTGTCTTGGCTTTTGCCACGTTTCCTTTGTCTTCTTGTCCGTGGCTTCATTTATAATGACTACCCCACCCCCTCTCGAGGCCATGGTTACAAAACTCATCTTTCCCCTCTAGAATGAACTCTGTGACTTTGGCTCAAGGAAGGAAGCCTCTGAAATAAAGATACAGCGACGTGTGGGTGCACGTGTTCTCCCTGAGTTAGCCATGGAGCCCATGGCCTGTAGGTCTGCCTGCCAACATTACCCCTCCTGGTAGCTCTGGAACTTCGGAATGTTCTTCGTATTTGCTGTTCCAGCTGCGGGGCGTGCTCTTCCCGCAGACAGCCACACCTCCTGTACACTCTTGCTCCATGTGATCTTGGCTGGCTCTCTCCAGCCGCTCCGGATGCGGTTCGACCCACACCGCCCCAGCACAGCGCCCCACCTCTCTTCCCTGCTTTCCTCTCCTCCTTGGCACTCATCACCCTCTTGTTCACTGTGCTCTTCAGCTGTCTTTTGTAGTTGCCTCCCTGGCTAGACGGAGGGCTCCCCGAAAGCCAGGGTCTTTGTTGCTGCACCCCGGGTGCCTAGAACAGCGCCCGGCCCAGAGCAGGCCCTCCGTCCCTTTCTGCTGAATGAACTCCTCCCTCGTAACTACTTGTAATTATACGGCATGCCCAGCTTTGTACCTGCTCTTCCCCTCTCCTCTGGGGGGTGAAAGCAGAGTCTGTGAAGCCTCTGGTCAGGATTTTGAACTTGCAGACACGTGGCACTCAGGAGCTCGTTCTCCCTGTAGGTGGAAGCAGCAAAGAAGGCCTACCACGCGGCATGTAAAGAGGAGAAGTTGGCCACATCCCGAGAAACCAATAGCAAAGCGGACCCATCCCTCAACCCCGAGCAGCTTAAGAAGTTGCAAGACAAAGTAGAAAAATGCAAGCAAGACGTTCTGAAGGTAAATGGGGCACGTCTTTCTCCGTGTTGAATGCACGTGCCTCACCCGGTCACCTCTCGGGCCCACAGTGAGCCTTTGTTGCTGCTTGATGGGACGGGTGGAGAGATGGCCCACCAGTAAGACCTACTCCTGCGCTCAGGAGGGCCCCGCAGTGAGCACTCACCTTACCACAGCCCCCTGTGCCCCGCTGAGGACGGGGGCCGACCCAAGTGCTGGGCAAGCTCGGGGAAGGGGCGGGTGTGCGAGAGGCGGGAGGGAGCAGCTTGTGCAGGACAAGGAGGTGTGGATGCCAGCGTCTGGCAGCTGATACGTGAGCTGGCACGGAGGGGCATGATGACCGAATCGCCAGTGGTCTTGCAAGGCCAGTGAAGTAAGGAGCTAGGACACTGCTACCAGCGAGCCACTGAAAGAAGGTTCCAGAGCTCAGGGAGGGCAGAGGTTTAGAGGAGGGCCACAGCTGGGAAGGCTTGCCCTGGTGGTGAGTGGAGGGAGTCCCCAGAAGGGGTGGTGGAGTATCCAGGAGGCCCAGCACACTGTGGCCGTGGGGAGCATGGAAGGGTGGGGGGAGCAGGCGGGTAGTTGCAGCAGTGAAGGCCCCCGAGAGGGGTGGGTGGAGGCTGCGGGCGCTCAGCCAGGAGACCGTGAACAGGCCCTGTGTGCAGCAGGCCCAGTGCAGCACCCTGGGTGCCGTGGGGGAGGTGTCCTGCTGCCGTGGATGAGAGAGATCGTATGGGAAGATGGTATAAGCTGTTGGGCTCCACGGATGCAGGTAGTGATTCTGCCTGGAAGGCCTGAGTCACGGGTGCAAACACTAGACAGATTCAGATAATTTAAAAGTTCCCAGTAAGTGAGAGCTGACGCGAGCAAGGCCCAGGCCACCACCTCTGCGGCACGGTGACGGGTGCGGGGCTGGGGCTGCGGCTGTCAGGAGCCCTCCTGCAGCAGTGCTGAGGAGACGCCACCTGCCTTTGGCGAGAGAGAGGCAGCCGACTGAGAAGGGCTGCGTCCCGGGAACAGGATGTGAGGCCAGAAAGGAAAGAGGAGCCCCGAGCTGCTCTGTTAACACCCACCGCCTTCTCAGGCTTGGATGGGCACCACTGAGCCCAGGGAATTAGGTGGTGGCATCTCTGTTGTGTGACGCAGGAAACTAAGTTCAGAGAGGCTCAATCTTGTGCCACCTGTTAGTGTGAGTGGGGGAGGGCCCATACCCTCTCTTCCCCACCCCTCACCACTCTGTCATCAGCATGGTGACGGAGGGCGGTTGTGGGGAATGTCTGCAGAAGAGTTCATCGCTCAGAGTGAGCACCAGAGTCCCTTGGGGAGCAGCCCCCCCCCCCCCCGCCCCTGGCTCTGGGACTGGGGCTGGGGCCAGGCGGCTGCCTCCACCGTGGAACCAGGTGAGGAGCCTGGGGCTACATGCCGAATGGGGAGGGCACCTGGGCTCAAGGAACAGAAGGCTGGGGGGCTGCTGAGGGTTGCTTTTTCCAGGTGTCCATGACAGTGCCTGGAGGAGAGACGAGGCATCTCTGGTCCTGGGTATGGGGGTAGGGGTGGGGGTGAGGGACGTAGACACACATACCTTTTGTGTTTCACAGTCACTCACAACAGAGCCCACCAAATTGATCCGGGTCCGAGGTCAGACATAAGGCACCTGTCAGGATGACTGGGCCACTTTGTAGAGGTTTCCTTCCCTACTCTGCGGTCTAGCCAGTGACCTTGGGGCATGATAGTCCTTGTAGGCCAAGAGCTGGCCCGGACAGGAGGGCAACCCCACCTTCTACTCCCCTTTTTGAAGCAGGTTCTAAAAGCCAGCACCGACTGGCTACACACTCCCTTCTGTATTTCCTTCAGGCAGTGACTGCGTCTTGCAGTATCCATCAGAAAGGAACTTCTCATGTTCAGTGCTAAATGTCCAGTCCACAGGAGAGCGAAGGCTGTCTCTCATTTCACTCCATGGATGTTTACTAGGAACTTTCTATGTGCTCTGTGCTAGGAATTCCCCAGTAGTGATGATCCTGCTCTGCATCTGGCTTTGCTGGGTCAGGGTTGTTTGTGAGCACAGGCCAGGGACCTGGGAAGCATCCTGTTGCCACTGGGCACCTCAGGGGCTCTGGGGAGGTTGCTGTGTTGTTGAAGAATCCCAGAGAAGTGCTTGCTCTCCAGGCGCTGGGTGTTTAACCGCAGCAGCATGTCTTGAGGCCTCTGAGCTCGTGATCTCACGCAGGGCCTCACACATAGACACAGGGCAGTTGACGATGACGATGAGGAGTAATCAGAGGAGTTGGTGGCACTCTGTTCCTGCTGGGAATGTCCAAATTCTGGAAAGGATAACCTTTTCCTGGGGTCACAGAGGACCCAAGGCCAGCCAGGAGGCTCAGAAGCAGAACAAGGAACAGCATATAAGGGGGGGGTGGGGAGGGGAGGCTCCAGGCAGTGGGTGGGGCCTGTTAGGGAAGTCTTTCAGAAGAGGGGTCTCTGGAGCATAAAGGGGAGTTTTCCAGGGCATGAGTCACAGCAGGGTGTCTGGGACGGAAGCAGCGTAGACAGTAGATTTGGAGTCTCGAGTGAGGGCAGAGCTGCTTCAGGGATGTGGCAGGGTCTGGGGTCCCGAGACCTGGCCTTGATCCTGAAGGCGGGAGGCTCAGCCCTTCCTCAGTAGTCCACAGTGTCGTCAGAGACAGAAAAGCGAAGTTCCTGGGTGGCCAGCTCATCTGCCCATGATCCCTCCATTTCTCAGGGTCTCCATAGCGGGAAGGCTTACAGTAAATATGGCCCGAGCCCTGCCATCCCTCATTTTGCCCCAGGAGGCTCCTTTGGTCCTGCCCTATTTCCTTTCTGGTAAAACCCCTTCTCGAGGCCAGTCTCGGGCTGAACGGCTGTGTAGGGGGGAGTGGTGGGCTGGAGGACAGGAGGATAAGGACTTTTTTGAATGCCTACTTCGTGCAGCTTGATGCCCTTTGTCTGTCACCTCATTTAAATATCAGATTGCTGTGATGTAGAAGTACGGCATGGTCGGCTCCGTTCCAGACCACCACAAGAAAGTGAGCCAAATGACTGTTTTTGGTTTCCCAGTGCACATAAAAGCTATGTTTACACAATAGTGTAATTTATTAAGTGTACAATAGCATTACATCTAAAAACAGTATACACACCTTAATTAAAACATACTTTATTGCTACAAAATGCTAACCATCATCTGAGATTTCAGCAAGTCATGATCACTAATCACAGATCACTATGACAAATGTAATAATAACGATGAAAACTTGAGATACTGAATTACCAAAATGTGACCAGAGACAGGAAGCGAGCAAGTGCTGTTGGAGAAATGGCACTGGGAGACGTGCTACACGCAGGTTTGCCCCAGACCTTCAGTCCGTAAAACACACAATACTGTGGAGCGCCATGAAACGGGGTTTGCCTGTACCTCGTTTTCTGCAGAGGGAAGTGAGGCTGTCAGAAACTCAGGTGCCAGGACTCACCCCCCAGGTCTGTCTGGCGCTCAGAGCCCGAGATCTTGCCCAGAGGTATCTGCTGAGTCACCACTGCTGTGGGCAAGGTCCAAGGCTCAAGGGGGCCCCAGCATAGCCCTTCCTCAGGGAGAGGACACGGATGGATGCCATGGGCGCGAGTCAGCAGGGCAGCGGTGCTCGAGACCATGCACCTTGGGCTCCAGAGTGACTGCCCCTTCCCCAGCGTCTGCCTGTTTGGGCCTGGTACTAGCTGAGAGGCCTGGCACATGCCAGGAGTGTGGTTTGCAGTTCAGAAGTGGAGGGGCTGGGACTTGAATTTGAAAGTGGAGTCCGTCAGACTCCAGTGCTTGTGCTCTTTGTGCTTTGGAATCTGTGGAGGCCTGAGAAGCTTTCCCCAAGGATGACCTCAGTGGTGGAGGTGGCATCGAGATGAGCCTGGGGGGCCTGGCCATGTGGGGTGGGAAGGGCGTCTTTCTGAGTATTTTCCCAGCCCAGATTGGGTGGAAGCACCCTTCGGGAGTAGAGGTAGAGCATGAGTCTTCTGGGCTGGAACCCGAGGAAGTAGATCCTTGGATGCCGGTCACAGCTCCTCACCCTGCTCATAAAGTCACTCAGAGTGTCTGCTTTAGTATTGTCAACTGATAAGTGGGTCTAGATGCTGATGAATTCAGAAGTGGCAGAAAGGGACAAAGGCAGGTGAGGAACAGGGTGGTGTAGAGCCTGGCTCGCTTTCTCTCCGTCAGAGGGAACCAGGGTGAATGGAGATGAACCTTCATCCTATTGTGCCCGGATTCTCTTGTAGACCAGAGAGAAGTACGAGAAGTCCCTGAAGGAGCTTGACCAGGGCACGCCGCAGTACATGGAGAACATGGAGCAGGTGTTTGAGCAGTGCCAGCACTTTGAGGAAAAGCGTCTGCGCTTCTTCCGGGAAGTTCTGCTGGAGGTTCAGAAGCACCTAGACCTGTCAAACGTGGCCAGGTGAGTTTCCATTTAGAGAAAGAGCACATCACCATGAGGTCAGTGGAAAGTTGCTTCTGAATAAAGCTCGATCACTGCTCTCCAGACTTGGGATGGCAGTGTTCGTCAGAAGACCTTCTCTCTGGGGGCTCCGGCGTGGCTCAGTCGGTTAAGCATCTGACTCTTGGTTTCAGCTCAGGTCACGATCTTAGGGTCATGAGATCAAGCGCTGTGTTGGGCTCCGTGCTCAGTGGGGAGTCCGCTTGGGATTCTCTCTCTCCCTCTGCCCCCCACCACTCTCCCTCTCAAAGAAATAAATAAATCTTTAAAAAAAAAAG